AATGAGCACTATGAAACAAACTTTACGAAGATCGATCTCAAGAACATCAATTGCGTCAATAATCTAATTTAAACCCAAATTCACGTGATGAACAAAATTATAAATACAACCCAGATACGATAAAAAATCTTCGGGGGACTTATGCAAGATATAGATGGGTGACAAAGTTTCCGAAATTTAACAAAACACGAATTTCGTCGAATTTCGTCAATTCGTCACCCATTACCAGAGGCAGGAAAAAAGGGGAAGTATATCCCATATTAATAAGAATATTACAAATCATAGGACCGGCAATGAAACCTAAATTGTTGGCTAATATAACTGTTACCATAGTGATTTCAGGTTTGGGATCGGTTCCAAATCGATCTGCCAGTATAGTAAAAATAACGGAATTATAAATTACGAAAAAAGTTGTGAAATTTCAACATGACCAATTCTTGTCAACATCAACTCGTACAAGTTCTCAGATCCGTCATATCAATTATTATTGGTATCTATCAAAAAGATAAAAATCAATTGGACATTTAAAAATAAATAGTCCGAAAGCTGGGATAATTAAATACACGCTAAAAAAGCAAATCGAGGTAAGTAATTAAAGAATTCAAGATAAATTACATTCCTACCATAACATCCAAAGAGCAGCCCAGTTGACGTTGAGTTCATCTCTGGCAATTAAGGGTTATAACACCATATACAATCATATCGTTATTAAGAATTTTTTTTTTTTATGAATTAGTAAAAGGTTAAATAATGTATCTAATTTTTAAAAATTTTTTAAAAAATAGAAACTTACGCAAAGAAAGTAATTGAAGCAATACATATTGATGCAGTCTTTGGCCTTCGAAAGGCAGCAAACCAGCTATACATTGAATAGTCAAATTCTAGACCGCAAATATACTTTGTGAAACGTTTTAATTGAATTTCCAAACTGCAAGTACAACTTTTTCCCAACGCTTTAGGTTTGTCCTTTTCATCAGTAATTAGTATTCACATTTTTCACAAATTCTTTCATATAGGTTTTCTTCACCGAACAACATCTCATTATGAAATTCTGTTCGATAAATGACTGACAATTCACCATCGTAATATGCAATTCAATGTGCGTTGTGTAATTTATATCACTACCATTTTTCAACATGGTCTAACATTACCTTTACCATTGCAGCTTCATCTCATTATCATTAGCTTTAAACTTAAAACTTCATTACCGGTAGTTATAATAAAGTTTAATTACTGTATGTTGTGATCACCAATTAGCAAGATACATAGTAAAAATCATTATTGAAGATCGATTTTCGAAATTTTCAAAATATATTAAATTATTAATAAAAAACTAGGAACTTGAGTTGCTTAAAGGGAGTTAAAAATAATTGAAACATGTATTGTGTTGTACTAGTACATTAAATAAGCTTGATTA